AATCGGTATATCTTAGTCCATACAAGTCCAAATGCCAAAATTCCAAAGGCATATGATAGCTAAGACATTCAGCTACATTTCATCAGAAGACACCAACTCCAAAAACCAAACCAATTCCAGTCAAAAAGGCCAATTACTATCGCAGTTTTCGCATTCTGATCAAAGCAGAACAGCTACAGTAAAAACGGTATAACTCACTCTACACTCATCCAAATGACCTGAAATTTTACAGACACCTCAAACACATCAATATCTACAACTTTTATGTTTTGAGCAAAGTCCAATTCGGCCTCTAACCCAGTGATCTAAAACCGGACAGAATTGGGATTTTATGAACCCTAACTTTCCAATTTTCCATTCAAATCCAAAATTAATTGCATTTATCCACAATTCACACCCACTAGAACCATTATAGTCCATTTCCAATCATCCAAGATAGCTACAACAATCATTTCATATTAAACCAGAAAAATTCCCAATAAAATAAAAACTTCACCAAAACTCTTCAAATCAAGAAATAAATCATATATTTCATCACCCAAGGCACCTCTAAGCATATTATAAGCATCATTAGGTATAGGGGAGAGGTTGTAGCATCACTTACCAAGAAACAAGGGAAAGAGAGGTTGTGGACACCTTTGCTCTTCAAAACAACTTCACTACAACCCTTACTAGCACTAGAAGGTAGGATTTTATGGAGTGAAATGGATGGAAGCAAATGTTTTTGGTTGATTTGCACCAAGTAGAAGCTAGAACTTGAAGAGTTTCTCCTTCCTTCTTTGCTCAAGATGGCCGGCCAACAAGAGAAGAAAAATGGTGGTTTTTGTGCATTTTTTTGATATTTAATCCTTTGGTCAAAAAAGTCAAGAAAGTGAATAGTGTTTCTTAAAGTCCATCCAATGAGAAGGTGACACTTGTCACCTCCATTAATGCATTCTTATCATTCTTTTCTCTCTCACATCAATCACTTAACACACCCTACTTATCTCTTAACACCCGATAAATTTTTCACAGTATTCGAAACTTAACCTTATTGGCCGAATTTTTCCGAACTTATCGCACTAGTGGGTCCCACGTCCAATATATATTCTTAATTTTTCAAAAACTACCCAATGCTAGGAAAATCATATTAAAAACTATAATTACCCATAAAATCCACCAAGAAATTTTCTAAGCCAGAAAACATGCAATTAAGGGAAAAACCCTAGGACAATATTAGGGAAATACGGGTTCTCACACCCCACCTCTCCCTAGGACGAACCAGAGGGTTCGGCGGGCCGCCTGCCCAGCTCTCGCCGGGACTCAGTCGCTCACTACAGTTCTCAACCCAATTACAATATAAATCTCAAAATTACCTCAAATTCTCCAATGGTTACATATTACAAATGCAGCGGAAACTGATTCCAATCGTGGAACGTATACTTACATCCATATCAATTTCAAATATTTATACTAGACCAACTCGTACATAAAATAGATCCAAACTTAAACTATACACGATATAAGCCATCCAGTCACGTGAATAAGCACTCCAAGCTTTTCTTCGCCTTGAGCCCTGTGGGGGGGGGAAATAAAACATTTTTGGGGTGAGCTAGAAGCTCAGCGAGTAACCATTAAAATCAGTAATCAATTCAGTTTCACAGTCGTTCATTTCAGTGATGTCATGATTTCAAGATCAAATGTACATTTATTGCTCTCGTGAGCCAGCGAAATCGTTGTACTTAAACACCCAACGCTCCAAACAAACATTAAACAGTAAACAGTCAGTGGGGAGCCATTTGCTCCAGATGAACAGTACACAGAGGTGGAGACGTTGGTGTTCAACACATGAATTCCAAGCACTCATTTAAGCCAAAACATGTCATGGGCCACATACAAGCACTCATGATATGCAATCAAGTAAATAGTGCAAGAAACGGTTCATAAGAAGCTTTAACAGTAGTTTGGGGTCACTCACCTCCACGGCTCAAAAACCATCCATCATGTATCATTGCCTTGCTCAAATCCAAGTCTTAGATCACAAACTCAATGCAAACAAGTCCTTTAAAAGTTCGGACAGCACTTCCCCTGAATTTGCTTACTTTCCCAGCCATCATGGCCTCGTTATTTCCTCAGCCAGTCCCAAAGGTACACACACAACAACAAGTTCATTCAATAGTCATTCAGCAAGCTCCAAGTAGTACAAAGACAAGTCAAGCTAGGGAAAAGTCTGGAAATGAAAGTTAAGTTCAAAACCAGAAAAACAGGTTTTGACGTCATTTTGCGGTAATGGTACCAAAGGCACTACGATTGTCGGATGAGGGTGTAAGACCCACCGTTTCGAAGCTAAGAACCAGGGCTACATTAATGTAGAAGGTCACTCAGTCCAGTTCCTAGCACAACTAGGTCAAATATGCCAAAAATTCCAAACCAGAACCACTTAAATAGGTTCACAAATCACACAATGCTGTAATGAACACAACTCAGTCTATACAGGTCCAAATGCCGAAATTCCAAAGGCATATGTTAGCTAAGACATCCAGCTACATTTCCTCAGAAGACACCAACAACAAAATCCAAACCAATTCCAGTCAAAAAAAACGATTACAAGCGCAGTTTTCACATTCTGAGCAACCCATATCAGCAATAGTAAAATCGGCATATCTCACTCTACACTAACCCAAATGACCTCAAATTTTGAAGGTACTTCAAACTCATCAATACCTACAACTTTCATGTTTTGAGCAAAGTCCAATTCGGCCTCTAACCCTATGATCTAAAACCGGACAGAATTAGGGGTTTATGAACCCTAACTTTTCACAATTCATTCCAAACCCAAAATTGATTGCAAATATCAACAATTCACACCTACTAGTGTCATTATAGGCCATTGCCAATCATCATAAATAACCACACCATCATAATCCAATTAAACCAGAAAAATCATCAATAAAATAAAAACTTCACCAAATCACTTCAAACCAAGATGAAAACCAGAAATTTCAGCACTTTAATCACTAATAAGCATAACTTAAGCTTCATTAAGTGCAAGAGGGAATTCGCACACCACTCACCTAGCAACCAAGAGAGATAGAGATGTTGGACACCTTAACTCTTCAAACAAACTTCACTAAACTACCTACTAGCACCCAAGGAAGGAATTTTATGGAGTAAAAACTAATTTAGGCAAGTAGTTTGGATGATTTGAGCTAGGAAATTTGCCAAGATGCCGAAGAGTTTTGTCTTTCTTCTTGCTAGAGAGGGCCGGCCATCCAAAGGTAAGAAATGGTGATTTTTGGGCAATTTTTAAGATATTTAACCTTTGGTCAAAAAAAGTCAAAAATTGGAATAGTAAATCTTAAAGTAAAACCAATAAGAGGGTGACACTTGTCACCTCATTAATGCAATCTTATCACTTCTTTTTCCTCTCACATCAATCAAATCTCACTCTCTACTTATCTCTTAACACCCGATAAATTTTACACAGTATCCGAAACTTAACCTTATTGGCCGAATTTTTCCGAACTTTTCGCACTAGTGGGTCCCACGTCCATTATACACTCTTAATTTTCCAAAAACTCTCCAAGGCTAAAAAAATCATCTAAAACCTATAATTACTCATAAAAATTTCTCATGAAAATTTCCTAAGCCAGAAAACGTAGAAAACATGCTATTAAAGGAAGTAAAACCCTCGGAAAGGATTAGGGTTTTTACGGGTTCTCACACTCATACTTTTCGGGGCGTCACAACACCCCGAATATTAGGAGGTTGTTTGTAAAGAAAATACTAAAGTGTATTTCTTTGGGTTTTATTTAAAACCTTATTTTGTTTTAAAAAGATTAGAAACCCTAATATTTTAATCAAAAACCCTAGTTTACTTGTGACTAACCCGTTTTTTTAAATCTCTCACATTTTAATTGAAACCCTAATTTTAATCACTGGAATTGTAAAATCTCTCACGTTTTTCTTAAAAATTTCCTTTTATTTGGAAATTATTCATTTATTAAAGCCCTACCACCCAGTCATTCCACAATAAGAGTAAATAAACCTAGAAAGTAGGGTTTCACTCTTCGGTTTCAAGATTGGAGCAAATTAGGGTTTTTGCGATTTTCGCCGGATGAATTTTCGAAACGGAGCAAGGATCAAATTTGGTGATTAAAAGTGACTTTTAAGTGAGAAATAAAATATGATTAGGAGCAATGAGATAAGGTTAGTGAATAGGAAGTAAAAACTCTAGTACGTGTGTTTTTAAGAAAAACGGCGCGAACCGGCGGGTCCCGCGCACTACCGATTGAACGCACCACTTGGCCACCATTTTTTTTTCCATACAAGCTCATGAATACTTGAGCAAAATATCTTCTCATTTGCCAGCTAGTTTGACCGAAATTTAGGGCTCAAAATAACAAGGAAAAGAAAGAGAAAAATGAAAGGTGTCGCCACCTAAGAGTTTCTTGACCAAGAGAGTAACCATCCTTCTTATCCCAATTTTTGCACCTTTCCTCTTCATTATTTCAACAGCTTGGCCGACCAAAGAGAGAGAGAAAATAGAGAACAAGAACAACTTTCTTCTTCTTGATCTTAGCTATCCAAGTGAGAAATCAAACTTCCAAACCGATTAAAGTGCTAGTTGTGGGCTTAAGAAGCTAGGGCAAACAAAAAATTTCCAAAGAAGGTGGAGTATCACTCTTCCAAGCTTGTCTTTGAGGTACAAGATCTGATTATGGTTTTTGGTCTTTTAAATTTTGGTTTAAGATGTCATCTAGTTCATGTTTTGGCTTTATTACAAGATATGCAAGTGGATGTGATGATTTTTGAATGATATATGCAAGTTAGGGTTTAATAAATATTATTCTTGATTTTGATGATCACAAAAGCACTTTGAAATGTTTATCTTTTTTTTTTTTTTTTTGGCAAAACCCCGTACACGGGGAGGGGATGCCAGCCCCTAAATATTATTGAAAACGACAACTTAAACAAAGAAGGGAGACGCCTCCCCAATGTAAAGACTAGGCATACATAACCTAAACCCCTTCGCTAATCCAACGAACCCCAGGCACACTCCGTGAGTCTAGCACAACCGAGGCCCGGACGATTGCCGGCAATTCCTGGAACTGGTCATATTCCGTGACTCCTATTGCTCCCATCTCCGCTAGCCTGTCTGCCGCCGAGTTGGCCTCACGGAACACATGCGCGATAGTGGCTGAAAAACCCTCTAGAAGGCTCCTAATTTTCCTCAAGCAATTACATAAGGGCCACTTAGCAAGTACCCCAGAGACAACCAACTGCACCAAGGCTTTAGAATCCACTTCAACCAACGAAGGGCGAAGCCCCCGTTGTGAACACAACTGCAAACCAAACAGTAAAGCCAGACCTTCTGCCTCCAACACATTGTAGTCCCCGAATTCTTTGTAAAAAGCAAAAATCATTTTTCCCTGATAATCCCGGACTAGCCCCCCACCCGTGGCCCTGCCATGCTTCACACTGGCGTCCGAGTTCAATTTAAGCAAACCAAAAGGCGGCTTTTCCCACATAACCGCCCGAGGGATCCTCCGCCGCCGCGGCGTGGTAACCAAACGAAGTAAGTCACAATCGACATCGCCGTTGAAGTGCGACCGATGAAACAAATTAGCCTTCCCAAGCCCCTCCAAGAACTGGTCTACCTCGCAGATGACCCTGTCACTCCCCCAATGGACGCCGCGGAAACGCTCCTGGTTCCTGGCAGACCAAAGAAACCAGCACACTACAACTGGCATAAACGTCCGAATATGGTCCTTCGAAGGAATTGCTGCCGTCCAATACCACGCTTTAAAAACTGATGCCATGCCCAAGCAATTGGATAATCGAAAACCAAAACGGGCAGACATCCTCCGCCACACCTCGGAGGCCACCGGGCCCTTAAAGAAGACATGCAAAAGGTCTTCCTCCTCCAGATAACAGCAACCACATCTAGAGGGACAAGACAAACCTCTCGACCGTAAAGTCACATCCAAAGGTAGGAAATTGCGCATCACTCTCCAAGCGAGAAACGACATTTTCATTGGCAACACCGAAGACCATAGCAGTGAGTCAACCAAGGAATACTGCCTCCTTTGTCGGAGCACCTCCCATGCCGACTTAACCGAGAAGCAACCCGTCGGAGAAGGTAGCCAAACCATCCTATCTTTCTGAGATACGTCGAATGGCGTGTCCTTGATAGCCTGGATGACAAAACTCGGGACCCACTGGGCAAGACGCAATTCATCCCACCCATCCAACGTAATAAATTTGGAGACAAGGAAGTGAGGATGATCAGGCCGAACCACCACACTCTCCAAAGGCTCATGAAGGACCCAGCGATCTTTCCAAAAATCCACCAAACCATCCCCTAAACACCACCTAATGCTCGGCTCAACCATGGGACGTATCGCCTGAAGACGCCTCCAAATCGCCGAAGGTCGCACGGGTGCCGCGTCCGCTGGATGACAACCGTTGACATATTTGGCGTGCATGAATTCTGCCCAAACAGAAGTTCCCAGCCTGAACCGCCACCACAATTTAGCGGAGAAAGCTCGCGCCATGTCCCTGAAAGAGCGGAAACCCAGGCCCCCTTCGTCAACAGGAAAGCATAAATTATCCCAGGAGGACCAATGAATGCGCCTCTCCCCGTTCTGGTCCCATAGAAAGGAATTACAAAGTACGCCCAGCCTAGTGAGCACAGCCTTGGGAGGATCCAACACCTGAAGTAAATACATGGGCAGCGAAGCAAGGACATGCCGTGCTAATACAAGCTTACCCCCAAAAGATAGCAAATTCGTGCTCCGATGTTCAAGACGACTCCTCATTTTGGAAACAATTCCATCAAACAAGATACCACAACGCCGGCCTTTATAAATAGGAGCCCCCAAATAGGTGAAAGGAAATGTCTGCCTGTTGAACCCCAGACCCCTATGTACCAACTGCTCCTGGCCCGGAGAAGCCCATGACGGCAAGAAAAAAGAACTCTTGGTGACATTTACTCTCTGTCCTGATGCTTCTTGATAGTCCGAAAGAAAACCCTTGAGCGCAGACAAGCACTCCTCTGAACATCTTGTGAAAATGAGCATGTCATCGGCGAAGGCCAGGTAGGGGACTACTGTCCCTGCTGAAACAAACCGCCTGTGCGGCTGACTATCCAGGAGATGGTGCAGCCCACGGCCTAAAAACTCCGCAATTAACACAAAAAGGCCAGGAGAAACCGGGTCACCCTGCCTAACCCCCCTCGTGGACTTAAAAAATCCAGAAGGCTCTCCATTCACCAAGACAGAAAACCAATTATTAGACACCAAGCGAAAAATAATGTCAACCACATGTTCAGCAAATCCAAACTTCCGAAGCATAAACAAAAGAAAAGGCCATTCGACCCTGTCATACGCCTTTTCCATATCCAATTTTAGCATAAGATTTGGGTGCCTCAACCGCCTATCCAGATCCACCACCAACTCCTGAGTAAGAAGAATGTTGTCCGTTATCCCCCGACCTGGCACAAACCCTGTCTGCCACGGGGATATTAAGGTAGGGAGAACCGTAGCCAACCTATCCGAGACGAGCTTGGAAATAATTTTCGAGCAGACGTTGCAAAGACTTATTGGCCGGAAATCTTTCCATTGCCCAGCACCCGCCACCTTAGGCAATAAAATGATGGAAGTGCTAGTAAAGCACCTAGGCAGCCGCATACCTTGGAAAAAGGCCTGTACCGCCTCCAATAAATCAGAATTAATAATATCCCAGCACACCTGGTAAAAACCTGCCCCAAACCCATCCGGACCCGGAGCACTATCTGCATCCAAAGCAAAGACCACCCCCTTCAACTCTTCCATTCCAGGCAAGGCACCTAACCTGTCATTATCTGCCGACGTTAATTGAGGGAGCGAAAACGGAAGTGCTGGAGGGAGAAAACCGTGTTGCTCAGATGCGAACAAGGAGGAGAAGAACCCCACGGCTGACCGCCTAATATCATGTATATCCTCCAGCCTTGCTCCAGATTGCTCTTTAATGCGGGCCACAAAATTATAACTTCGGCGTTGGCGGCAACGAGAATGGAAGTATGCCGAATTAGCATCCCCAACCTGCAACCATTTGATGCCCGACTTTTGTCTCCGGTACTCACACTCCACTGCCAAGCTCCTTGCATAAGCCGCCTTTGCCTCCTGCAGTTCTGCTCTGGAAACTGAATCCCTCTCCTTGTCAAAATGTTCCTCCCTTTGTTTCATAACAGCCTCAGCCTCCTTCACTTTGTTAAAAACATTACCAAAGACCTGTACATTCCATGTTTGCAGACAGCCTTTTACCGCCCACAATTTATTATGGAACTTCGGCATACCCAGCCCCTCCACGGGCATCGCCCAACCCTGGCGGACCACCTCCATAAAACCTGAATGCCTCTGCCATACATTTAAAAATTTAAAAGAACTTTTCCCTTTTCTTCCATTGTTGGCAGTAATAACCAGCGGAGCATGATCCGAACGCCCTCTGGACAAATGAGACACATGGGAGAGATCGTAACCCTCAGCCCAATCCCGATTCATCAAAGCCCTATCCAATCTCTGCCACATCCTACCATTCGTCCATGTAAATAACGACCCATCAAAAGGAACCTCCGCTAAACCATAGGTGCCAATGGCCGCGTTAAATTCCTCAATGTTCCGTGCATTGGCTGGAGAACCACCCGCTCGTTCCTCCACAGTGGTAATGACATTGAAATCCCCTGCCAGTAACCAAGGCCCCCGCACGGAGCCCGCCAATTCTTCCATTGCTGCCCATGGGTCGCGTCGCCCCACCCTCGAGCACCGTGCATATACAGCCGAAAGCTGAATCGAGCAACCAGACGGAAAAGAAATGCCCATATGAAGGAGTTGCTCGGCCATCTCCCTGAAGCACAATGACAACTCATCGTACCAAAAAACCCATACCTTATTATTCAATGCTACCGACGCTCTGTCGAAACCTAGAAACCGGCGAACCACCTCCAGCTGCGGTGTATCCGACAATGGTTCTAGAAGAACTAGAATCCGTATTTTATTATCTTTGCAAATCTTATGTAGATATCTGAGTGAATCTTTACGAGAAGCCCCACGTATGTTCCAGACCACAATCTTAAAGGGATTTAACATGAGACCGCAACGAATAAGGATTTTGAGACAAGATATGAACCTGGTTGGACGAAGTTTTAGCCGGACGACCGCCCTTATGCCTAGCCCCAAGCTGACCTTTCCCCACGGCTTCTTGCTGCTCCACCTGCGCCGCAGCACCCTGCACCCCGTCCAGCATCCCTCCCGTTGCCATCTGATCAGGCGACAATCGTTGATGCAACACCCTATGAAACTCCTTAAGGTTAGCCCATTGTGCCACTTCACCTGGTATATCCCCGTCCGAGTACTGCCTTCTGTGTTTCGGCCTAGTTGTTGGAGCATGAGCCTCAGACCTGGACGGGGTGCGCTCAAAATCCTGGAACTCCTTGTCTGCAAGTGCTTGCAATACAGCAAAAGTATTGGAGGATGGCACACACCTGGCCTCCTGCCCGCCTACTTCCCTTTCGCAATCATCAGTCCTCGAAACTAAAATCTTGGGGGAATCAACCTCCAGCGCATCCATATCCATCAAAGCCACAGCGGCTACACCCTCAAGCCCAGCCGCAGCTACCGAGTCTCC